GCTACTTGAAGTATTATTGTTCACTCTTATGAACTTTTGATGCCATTAACTTGCTACGTTGATATTCGTGCTTTTAAAATGGTCAATTTGTTATTTGGAACCTCACTGGGCTTTTAGCTCATTCCATGCCATTTGTTTTCCTTACAGGGGGTACAAGTGAGGCATGAGACATGTACAGACTAGCGTAGCCTAGTTGTTTTTGACTTTTGACTTGTACTCGTGCTATCACTCGATTAGGATGATTTGTACTTGGATTGTATACACTTTAAACCAGTTTGAATATATAGAGGCTTTGTATCTTGAATGTGCATCGATGTAAATTGTAAGTTTGAATTACGATGTTATTTATTATCTATGGATGTATGCACGTGATACGAGTGAGTAAGTCCTAGCGAGAGTTGGGCAGGCGGTCCGCCGAACCCTTTAGTTTGCCTTAGGGGAAAGTGGGGCTGTCACATTTGGAGTAATTTCCTTAGGTGTCCCCGAAATTTGCCTACCACCATCCCCTCAACCCACCTTAGAGGGTGGCATATCTAGATCACCTTGTCCCTGTCCTTGACTTCCACCAGGTGCACCTCTCCTTTTTGCATGAAAAACCCTCACTTGTGCCCTAGCAATTTCTATTCTCTGGATTTTCTCCAAAACCTCCGTAAAAGTATTATTTGTGCCACCGCCAAAGCCTCTTGTATTTTCATATTTAGTCCCTGGACAAACCTTCTTACCCTCCTTTCAATTCGGGAGCAAACTTAGATAGTTTCGTGAACTGAGTCTCATACTCAGATACACTTAGGGTTCCTTGACGAAGCTTAATAAAATCATCTTCCCTCTTCTCCTGGACTATCGGTGGAAGGTATTTCTCATTAAACTCTCGCACAAAGTTCACCCAAGTCCATGCAGTCCCCTCTCTTTCCCATTTAACCGCAATTACATTTCACCAGGCCCTTGCTGGTCCTTCAAACCGAAATACAGCGAAATGCACCTGTCTATCCTCTATATAGTTTAAGGCAGCAAAAATATTAATCATCGACTCTAACCATCTCTCAGCTGCCTCAGGGTCCGGCCCTCCCAGAAACTTAGGAGGAGAGAATTTTTGGAATCTCTCTAAAGCCCTATCTTGTCCTATTTCAAGATCCCTGAGCTGATTAACAGGGGCTTGACCCTGCTACTTTACCAGTCGAGCAAGTATATTGGTCATTTGCTGAATTGCTGTTGCTACCTGGTCCCCCCTTCAGCTCGGGTCCAAGTTGTGGTTCAATCGTTTCACCTCTCTCATCTCTTGGTTTCCGTACTGATTCTTGTGCCGGTCTAGCCCCACGGCCATGGCTAGAACCATATCTTCGGGTAGTTCCATATCCTTGACTCCGTCTACCCTCCATACCTCTTTTCCTATATAAGTATAAGCAAAATAAAGTAGTTATAAAGGCCGATAAAAGCATTTTCAAATCATAAAAACGAAAATTAATAAAACACATCGAAAATAACATACTTTCTTTATGTATTGCTCAGGCACTATACTTAATCAAAACATGACGAAGTACAACCAAGTACGTACGCCGTGAAAAATCAGGGTCCCCTAATCGTACTAAGATCATCAATATATCTTAAATCCAGACTATTCGCATTCCCCGTGCCTTGGCTTTCGCCATTCAAACTTACTCTCATATTGTTCGGGATATCGACTTATCATAAAGGTATCAGTCTATGGTACTTGGGTGCAAGAATTTGAAATATGATAATTCACTACTCCAGTTAGCTAGGCTCAAGAGGAAATCAACCACTTTTGGATTCCTACCCAACATATATTTCTAAGGTCCCCAACAATAAACATTTGTTCCACACTTAACAAGCCAATCCCCACAGTTCGAGAACGCTCTCCCGGCACGAGCTCGATAGGAGCTCTGATACCATCTATGACGGCCCACCTCCCCTAGGGCATACCCCAGGGTTCGGCAGGTCGCCTGCCCAACTCTCGCCAGGACTCACTCACTCACATCAAACAAAATAGAGTGTAAGCTCAATAATAAACGAAATAACAACTCCCAAGTTTGAACATACAAATACATTCATTTCTATCTCAACCATCCATACAATCCCAAATACATCAAAAGATTGGAATTCTAAATATATTCAACCCTAATCGAGCGACTCGTGCGAGTACAATTACAAAATTCAAAAACTAGATTACGCTAGTCTGTATCAGTCCCATGCCTCGATCGATACCCCCTGTAAGGAAAACAAATGGCATGGAATGAGCTAAAAGCCCAGTAAGGTTCCAAATAGCAAATCGACCATTGTTTATAAGTACAAGTTTCAATGTAGCAAAGTAATGAGCATGAAAAGTTCATAAAAGTGAGCAATAACACTTCAAGTAGCAAATCTCAAAATGCGCGAGTGTAAAGTTTTTCTTTTAAACTGAAACAATAACACGATAAGTACTACTCATTCCAAAGTATAAGGATACGAATGACTCTCAAGAGCCAAATTCCCATTGCATCACCAGAGCTTGAGCAAGTAATAGTTGACACTCTGTCAACTTTCAAGTAAGTAACCAATCCAGTAGAGTACCACTTAAACTACTCTCCGTCCACCATCCAAACCCCCTACTGGGCCCAAAATCCTCAATAAACACTAGTGGTAATACTCGGGTATACCGATTAGTCGAGGAGATAACACTCCACTCGACAACACTAGATACCCATGGTTTGTTATCTAATCGACCAAGCCCTTGCCAACTCGACTCGATTAACTAACCAGTGGGGTTTGGGCACTTAAGAAGTCGATGAGATAACATCTCCAATCGACGAAATCAAGATAAAACATGAGTTCTCACATTTCTCTCCCCCTTAAGAGAATTTCGTTCTCGAAATTCATACCTTTGTTTTGAAATAGATCTGGATATTTTTCTTGAATTTCTTCTTCTACTTCCCAAGTTGTTTCCTCTAGTCCGTGGTTTCTCCGTAGAACTTTCACCAACGGGATTCGCTTATTCCTCAATTCTTTCACTTTACGATCTAGAAGCTTTATCGGTTTCTCCTCATAGGTCAGTGCTTCACCAATCTCGATATTTTCCGGTTGTAAGACATGAGACGGATCCAGATGATATTTCTTGAGTATCGATACGTGAAAAGAATTGTGAATCCGAGATAAACTTGATGGTAATTCCAACTTATAAGCCACATTCCCTACACGTTGAAGGATCTTGTATGGTCCTACAAATCTCGGTTGCAACTTATTTCCTTTACCTGCCAACAAGCTTGCTTTGAAAGGAGTGGTCTTAAGAAAAACTTGGTCTCCAACCGCAAATTCTAAATCTTTCCTTCGATTATCTGCATAACTCTTCTGACGACTTTGAGCAGTTTGTATCCTTTGGCGTATTAACTTCACCTCTTCATATGCCTCCTCAATCCATGGCACTGTAGTTAGGTCTAAAACCTTTCTTTCACCTATTTCATCTCAACAAATTGGAGATCTACACTTCTGACCATAAAGCGCTTTGTACGGAGCCATTTGAATGGATGCATGGAAACTATTATTATAAGAAAATTCCACCAATGTCAAATACTTACTCCAACTTTCTCCAAAATCCAAGATACAAGTTCTCAACATGTCCTCAAGAGTTTGAATCGTCCTCTCAGACTATCCATCAGTCTGTGGATGGTAAGTAGTGCTAAAATTCAATTTAATCCCTAACACTTCTTGTATCTTTTGCCAGAACAACGAGACAAACTCAGGGTCTCGATCGGACACAATACTTACAGGTATCCCATGTAGCCTTATAATCTCATCCAAGTATAACTTAGCTCACTTCTCCAACGGGTACTTCATACTAATCGGCAGAAAGTGAGCCGATTTGGTCAATCTATCTACTCTCTCCCAAACTGCATCATGATCTCTTTGTGTCCTTGGTAATCCAGATACAAAGTCCATAGTGATATTTTTTTCACTTCCACTCGGGTATCTCTAAAGGTTTGCAAAAGACCAGATGGTTTCTAATACTCGGCTTTAACTTGTTGACAAATCAAACAAGTTTGGACAAATTGGGCAATTTTCTTTTTCATGTTCTTCTACCAGTACAAACTCTTCAAGTCCTGGTATATTTTATTCCCTCCAGGATGTACCGTATATTTAGATAGGTGTGCTTCTTCTAAGATTTTCTTCTTAAACCTTCGTCCTTTGGCACTACTATACGATTTCGAAATCTTAGTACACCATTTATTCCCAAATTAAAATCTGACTTTTCACCCTTATTCACTTTCTCCAACCACTTTTGTACTTCAAAATCCTTCTCCTGAGCTTCCGTGATATGTTCCAACAAAGTGGATTTCACGATAATGTTCCCCAAAATCACTTTTCTCGGTTTGAGTCGGGGATTCCAACAACTGACCTCTTCCAACAAGTATAATTCTTTAATCATCAATCTTGCCACTTGCACTTGACGATTTAAAGCATCAGCCGCTACATTGGCTTTCCCTGGATGATACTTTATCGTGCAATCATAATCTTCCAAAATTTCCATCCACTTACGTTGTCTCAAATTCAGCTTCTTTTGGAAAAATAAATACTTAAGACTCTTGTGGTCCGTGAAAAACTCAAATATCATTCCATATAGGTAATGCCTGCACTTCTTCAATGCAAATACTATAGCCACTAACTCCAAATCATGAGTTGGATAATTTCTCTCGTGTGACTTTAATTTCCTAGAGACATAGCAATCACCTTATCATTTTACATCAACAAACATCCCAAGCCTTCTTTGGAAGCATCTGTATATACTACAAAACTATTCTTTCCATTAGGTAAAACTAATACAGGTGCTCTCGCCAACCGTCTCTTTAACTCCTAAAAACTCTCTTCACATTTAGGACCCCATATAAATTTCTCACTTTCTTAGTCAACTCGGTCATGGGTTCAGCAATCTTAGAAAAATCCTTGATGAATCTCCGGTCATACCCTGCTAACCCTAAAAAACTTCGAATTTCAGTAGGATTTTCCAGTTTCTTTCACTTTGCATCTGCTTCAACTTTGGTTGGATCCACCTTAATCCCATCCTTGGAAATTATGTGACCTAAGAATGTTACTTCCCAAAACTCACATTTGCTTAACATAGCATACAACTGATGCTCCCTCAACATTTGTAAAACAATTCTCAAATGTTTCTCATGATTCTCCAAGGTCTTAGAGTACATCAGTATGTCATCGATGAACACCACCGCAAACTGATCTAGATATGGCTTAAAGATTTTGTACATTAAATCTATAAAAGCCGCAGGTGCGTTAGTCAATCCAAATGGCATCACTATGAACTCAAAATGTCGGTACCTCGAGTTAAAGGCAGTTTTAGGTATATCCTTCTCCAAAATCCTCAATTGATAATAATCCTGCCTGAGGTCCAACTTTGAAAATACTACCGCACCTTGCAATTGGTCAAATAGTTCATCAATGTAGGGCAAAGGGTATTTATTTTTAATTGTAACATCATTCAAGTCTTGATAGTCTATACAAAGTCTTAAACTGCCATCTTTCTTTTTAAAGAACAATACCGGGCTCCCCACGATGAATCACTCTCCTTTATAAAACCTTGCTCTAGCAAATCCTGCAATTGCAGTTTCAACTCTTTCAATTCAATTGGAACCATTCTATACGGTGTCTTAGAGATAGGTGCTACCCCAAAGTCACATCAATTTTAAAAGCTATTTCTCTTTCCGGAGGGCAAAGATTCTAATTCTTCAGGAAAAACATCCGGATACTTCTTCACTACAGGCATATCTTCCAATCTCACCTTATCACTAGGAGTATTTATAAGAAAGGCCAAATATCTTTGATCTCCCTTACTCAACATTTTTCTAGCTCGAATTCCTGAAATAAGAGTAGATGAGGCTAATCTACCCCTTATATTCAATTTTAAGGTTGCCTCTCTTGGAATGCACAACTCTACTGTTTTCATCTTACAATTCAACTGAGTATTGTAGCGAGCTAACCAATCCATTCCCAGGATGACATCATACCCCTTAACAGCTAAACCCATTAAATCAACCAGTAACTTCCGTTCTCCAACCCATATCTCACAATCTCTATACACCAAATTAGCAAGTAAACTTTATTCCCCAGTTGGTGTTCTAACCTCCAAATCATAAGGTAACTTAATTGGCTTCACATCTATTTCACTCATGAAGTTAGGGTTCACAAAACAGTGTGTTGCACCCAAATCAATTAAAACCTTAGCTAAACGATAGAAAATAGGGATCGTACCTTCGACCGCCTCAGTAGCATTGGGAATCTACTGATAGTCTAATGCGTAAACCCTAGCAGGTACCTTTGGTCAACTTCCTCCAACACTAGTCTTCTTAGAGGTTGATTTTTCTGGCTCTTGGGTACTACCTTCTTCTTTTGGTATAGTTGGGCATTTTGATTTCTGGTTCTCGGTACTACCACAAAACAAGCATTTTTCCAATTTCCTCCAACACCCATTCTCTGTATGATTAGACTTGCCACAGTAGCCACAACTAACTTGAGGAGTTACGGTTTGTCCACCAGAAGGTGTTCCTCTCGCTCGACATTGCCTACTACGACCTCCTCTTGATAAAGCTCCTCTTGGAGCTCCAACGGTCCTTATTCCTCCCATACCCCTTCCTATCTTAGAAGGTGGGGTACTTTTACTGGTTTGTCCAGAAGAGTAACTAAAAATGTTCCTTTTCTTAGTATGGAAGTCCCTTACTTGCAGCCTTGCGCTCTCAACTCTTTGCGCTTTCTCCAGAGCTTCAGTGAACGTAGAGATTTAGGCTGCTGCCAACCTCTCCTAAATCTCCACATTAAGCTCTTGCACAAAACGTCTAATTCTTTTTCGCTCATTAATCACCAATTCTAGAGCGTACTTAGAAAGTTTAGTGAACTTCCCCTCATACTCAGCCACTCTAAGAGTTCCCTGCCTCAACTTTATAAATTCGTCCTCCCGCTTCTCTTGGATCAGAGGCGGAAGAAACTTCTCATTAAACTCCCTCAGGAAGTTTTTCCAAGTCCAAGAGGTCTGCGCTCTTTCCCACTTTCCCATTATTGTGTCCCACCAAGCACGTGTAACGCCCTCAAATCGAAAGGCAGCAAAGTTCACTCTTCTCTCTTCAGTATAATCTAAAGCAGCGAAAATATTAGTTATCCACTCTAGCCAGTTCTCCGCTAATTCAGGATCAGGTCCTCCAATGAATTTAAGCGGATTAAATTTCAGAAACCTCTCCAAAGCCTTATTATCACCTCTATCCTAGGCCCCAGGTTGGTTAAATGGCCCTGGACCCTGTCGCTTTGCTAATCATTCTAGGATATCAGTCATTCGATTAATGGCAGTAGCCATTTCGTTACCCTCTACATTTTTTTGTTCCTGGGTCTGCCCAGTTGCCGATCCCTGATAATCCCCTTGAGGTTAGCCTAGTCCTACGCCCATGACCTCGACCACTCTTTCGTCCGTCCATAATCCTAGTTATGCCTAATGCAAGAAATAAAATAATTACGCGAGAAAATATTTAAAATAAGAGCCAACATGAGTATGAGAGCCCGAAATTTTCTTATTTTCTAGGCATTTATTTTAGTCTTTCGCGTATAATTTTCGTATTTTCTTTCTTATATGAATATTCTGAGAATTTTTATGAGTAAATATAGTTTTTAAATTATTTTTTTAGTATAAGTTAGTTCATGAGGGTTTAAGAGTGTATACTGGATGTGGGACCCGCAAGTGCGGAAAGTTCGATAAAATTCGGTCGATTAGGTTAAGTTTAGTATTCTGGAATTAATTTACTAGGTGTTATGAGGTCATTAGAGGATGTGTAGTTGGATTAATGGTGGAGAGACAAAAGGATAATTATAAGCCAAAATAGATGCTAGGTGTCGCGTTTTCATTGGACCTTGGACTTTGACCATCTTACCACCTTTACTAAATAACCAAAAATTGACCAAAAATTCATCAAAAATTTCATCCTCTTGGCCGAACTTCTTGTTGGAAAAGAAGAGAAAAACCTCCAACTTTTTTCTTCAATTTCTTGCTTGAATCTCACAAACTAACCGTTAAAACTTGGATTTGCTCCATAAAAACCTTTCTCTTGGTAGGATTAAGGTGATTGGTGAAGTGGTTTGAGAAGGAAAGGTATTAAGTTGCTTCTTTTCTTGAGTTTACAGGGTGATTAGCCAAGAAATTCTTCCTTGTTCATGATAATGCTAAATTGGTGCCTTGTGGTAGTTGAATAAGTGATTTTTTGGATGATTTCATGACTTGTGGTGAAGATTGATGGATTTTTATTTTTATGCTTGATTTTTCTGATTTCATATGTTTAGTGTTGGTTAGTCATGGATTGTTGGTTAGTTATTGTGTAAAATGGAGTTGATATATGTTGGGTATGATTGATTGTGCAAAAATTCTGGTTTGGGGTGAAATTTCCAGGTTAGGGTTTCAAACAGGCCTGTTCTGTCCAAATTTATTTGAGCAGGTTAGAGGCCGAATTAGCCTTGGGTTAAAACATGAAAGTTGTAGAGAATGATGTTTTATATTTTCTACAAAATTTCAGCCCAATCGGAGTAACGTAGCCTGTGAAAAGACCGAAATACCCCTACTACCCTGTTTCTGTCCGAACCTGATAATCAGCTTCTGTAATTGGCTAGTTTGACCAGAAATACTACTAATATGGTTGTCGATGTCTCATAAGAATTATAGCCTGGTATCTTAGCTTTCAGATGGCTTTGGAATCATTTGAATTGGAGTCGTATGTGCTGAGATATGATTGAATGAATCAGGACTGCTCGTTGAATTTCACAGTAAGCTGCGAATTGAAAAATCTGGGGTTCTTTTGGTAAATTTGACCTAGATACATTGCAATCTGGACTAAGTGTAGCTCTAGTTGTGACCGTTCCGCTAAGTAACGTCAAAACTGTCCTTTGCTTTTCAACTTAAATTTCATTTCCGCACATGTCCCTAGCTTAGTTACGCACTTATACATTCTTTTGGACATTATTTCTTTGGTAGTGTGTGGATTGATTTGTGTGACAGCCCCACCTCCCCCTAAGGCGAACCAAAGGGTGCGGCGGACCGCCTGCCCAGCTCTCGCCGGGACTCAGTCGATCACTTCCATCATCGAGCAAAAACCAGATCCAGCCCATACGAAAAATATAGCAATGATCCAAAAACTTAAACGAAACTTATATACATTACGATCTCAAAAGAAGTACAACCGTCGAATACACAAAGGTTCCAAATCCACTATACAACCAGCCTGTGCCAAGCACTAGGGCGAGAACCATTACAAAAAAAAAATCAAAAGCTAGACCAGTTAGTCTATACAGAGCTCTCGTCCTTGCTCGCCTTCCCCTGTTAAGGAAAACAAAACTAACGGGATGAGCTAAAAGTTCAGTGAGGTTCCGAACAGGTAATTGAACAACAACCAATACATTAACCATCAATAATCAATAATTCAAGAAACATTTAGCATGGAAAACAATAAGAACACATACATTAAAAGGATACGGACTCACAAGGAGCCAAATATTCCCGCGCTCGCTCGTTCTCCTGACATTTCCTCCTTCCTTCAATCTTTTGAAAATGCATTTTTTTTCTTTTGTAAATAAAACTCGCGCTTCATTTAATCATTCATTTCATTCACCCCCTTCCTAGCCATTGGCCGGGCTCCACCAGACTTCAAGGTAATACTCGAGTATACCGAAACGTTCACCCAGGTCCCTAATCGCCCGACCGAGTCTGCTTCTGGCTCGAGATGACCGGTAACAAGGGCAATGGCCAGTTCAGCCCAAAAGGCTTACATTCATGCACAAGTAACATGTCAATCGTTCAATCATTAAAATTTCAAAATCATTTAGGCTAAGTGCGATAAAGTACACACTCGCCTTGAAAACTCGTTTTTACAATCATTGAAAGCACTTAACACATTATCAAGCAATAAGATCAAGCCAATAAGTCAAGGAAATATAACAAACAAGGAACACTCACCTAACTATGCAAAATAACGTGCAAAATATCCTTCTGGATAGAATCCTTAATCACCGAGAAAACCTAAGATTGAACGAGAAAGAATATAGCACAACCAATTAGGTGAAATCGAAGAAACCCAATAAATGGTGAGTAAAACGCATAAAAATGACTTTAAGTGAAACGGGACATTGAACTGATGGTCGGAAATCAAGGGTTTCATAAGCCAAACGTAAAACTAAACTAAAAAGGGTTATAAAATTTTGCGGCAAAAAGCACTTGGACCAAAACTAGCCTTCAAGAAAAATTTCGGCAGCAAATCCCTTGTGTTTACCTATTTTCCAGCCATTAATGGCTTCATTATTTCCTCAAATTAGTCCCAACATCTCACCCAAAATAATCTCATTTCCAAAAGCCGTTCACTAGGTTTAAAGTCATTCAAGTACAAAATTTAGCTAGGAAATAACCGGATATGAAAGTCAAGCCCTAAACTATTCAAATAAACACAATAAGACTCGATTACAAGTCATGAACCAATTCTACATACTACCAAAATAAGATTCCATAAGCATACACAAGCAATAGAGGAAACCAGAAAAATCCGAAAATGATTTAGCTTTAACCCTGAAAAAAAACAGTTTTTGACATCATTTTGCGGTAATGGCACCAAAGGTACTACGATGATCGGATGAAGGTGCAAGACCCACCATTTCGAAGCTAAAAGATAGGGTTACAATATTACAGAAGGTCACTTAGCCCAGTTTCGAGTGTAACCAGGTCAAAAATGCAAGAAACTACACCAGAATCGGAAAAATAGATTCACAGAACACGTTCTAGTGCAAACATCATAACTCAGCCTACCCAAGTCCAAATCCAGAAATTACAAAACCAGATGAAAACTAAGAAACAGGGTTACATCTCATCAGAAGACCTTAACAACCAATTCGGAAGCAATTCCAGCCAAAACAACCAATTACAGGCACAATTCTAGCATTCGGGTAAAACCAGGACAGCAATAGTAATTTCAACTTTTCTCATTCTACACTACTCCGATTGACCTGAAATTTTGTAGGCACCTCTAAAATGTCATTCCCTACAACTTTCATGTTTTAATACAAGGCCAATTCGGCCTCTAACTAGGAGCTAAAAATTCGGATAGAATGCTCCCTCAAGAACCCTAATTTTCTGAAATTTCTTCCAAACCAGAAATTGGTTGCAATTAATCACTTTTTCCACCTCCTAGAGTCATTATATACCATTTCCAATCATCATAGATAGCCACACAATCATGTTCATATTAAAACAAAAAAATCCCCAAAAATAATAAAAGTTCATCACTTCAACCACAAATCAAGAAATAATCCATAAACTTGCATCTCATACTACCACTAATCATGATTTAAGCATCAATTAAGGGAGGAGGGTGGTTCTTACAACTCACCTTAGAAACAAGAGAGAGAGAGCAATAGGTCCTCTTAGCTTTCCAATTAACTCCAAAAATCAACTCACAAACACTAAGTGAAGAGGTTTTATGGAACAAAGACAAGTTTAAATGGTTGGTTTAGTGATTTGGAGCAAGATGGAATCAAGAAATTGAAGAGGTTTTCTTTCTTTCCTTGCTTAAGAGGTTCGGCCACTAGAGCTTGAAAAATGGAGTAATTTTGGTAAAGTTTTAGTTTATTAAGTCAAATGGTAAGACATGGAATAGTAGTCATACAAGTCCATCCAATAGGCAAGTGACACTTGTCACTTTATTTAATGCAAGTCTATCACTTTGTTTCCTCTCACACCAATCCAAATTGAAACCACTACTTATTTCTTAACACCCGATAAATTAATTCCAGTATCCAAAACTTAACCTAGTTGGCCGAATTTTTCCGAACTTTTCGCACTAGTGGGTCCCACGTCCGGTATACGCTCTTAATTTCTCAAAAACTATCCGATACTAGAAAAATCATCCAAAAACTATATTTACTCATAAAAATTATTTTCCCAATTTTTCAAATCAATAAAATGTGGAAAAACGTGCAATTATAAGAAAAAAATAAATTCGAGTACTTTAAAACAAAATTACAGGCTCTCACAATTTG